AAAAAAAAGAGTCAAATCCAGCCAGGCATGGTGCTGTCTGCCTAGAATCCCAGCTACTGGGGAGTCTGGGGTGGGAGGGTCATAAATGTGAGGCCAGTGTGGGCAATTTTGGAGGCACAACATCCAGCGCTGTCTGGGCTTCATCCCCAGCACCACACACACACACACACACACACACACCCTGAAAATAAGGGAAAACAGGAAACATCAAAGACCCAAGGAAATGAGCCCAACATGACGTTGAATGTACCCTGATTTATTTCACTTAACATGGTCCCCGTATACATCCATTTACCTAAGAATGCCACCAGTTTGTCCTTCTTTATGTTAAGGTAGTACGTCACAGTGTGTAAATACCACATTTTGTTTATCCGTTTATCTGTTGATTGACATATGGACTGCTTCCAAGACCTAGCAGGGAGGGATAAATTGTTCAAGGAAGGATAGGAAGGGTAGGGGGTGAAAGAAGAATTGTAACGTTCTGTACATGATCCAACTCCACATGATAAATGTAAACATTATGTACTGCAAACATGTATAAAAATAGCAAAAAAAAAAAAAAAGATAAGTACTCCTTAAAACAAAAAATAGAGGGCTGGGCGTGGTAGCACACATCTCTAATCCCAGCTCTTGGGAGGCTGAGGCAGGAGGATCACTGTGAGTTCAAGACCAGTCTGGGCTACATAGTTCTAGGCCAATCTCAACTGCACAATGACACCTTGTCTCAAAAGACAAAACAAAACAAAAAAGGTAAACAGCACACCTTCCTTCTCTTTTTTTTAATCCTTTGAAAATAACATATTAAATAAACCATATTGTTTGACCCAGAGAATTTCCCCTACTCTGGATTTTTCTAATCACATCTCTAAAGTGTTCAATGTGTTTCTCTGCCTCTGGTATTTCTATAAAAGGGGAATCAGATTTCAAGGCTTAAGAAAATTGGATTTTGTTAAGCAAGGTGTTTCAGGGGTGATGTCTCATACTTCTGGTTTTATGTCTTCAGAGTGCACTTAATTTCTGGGTGACTGTGTATTTGCCATGTTTATGTTGATCAAGGAAATTGTCAACCTAGTCCATCCATTACTAATTTCCTTACTAGCTTCTATGGTTTCAATAGCAATAATACTCATTACTTAGAACTATAATTATTTCACTATGGGGTATGAAATAGTGATACCGTTTTCCTACCATTCCTTCTTTTTTTGGTACTGGGGATCGAACTCAGGTCCTTGCACTTGCAAGGCAGGCACCAAAACCACTGAGCTGAATCCCCAGCCCTTACCATTCCTTCTTCGTTTTGTTAGCCAGAATTCTTTCATGTAGAACTTTCCCTAAGGACTATTTGATTATCCTAAGATATGGTTGATACAAGTAATACAAGAAAATGCTGGCTTTTTTTCCCCCTTCCTTAGTATTTCTCACACTAAGGAGTAGGTCCCCTGTTATCCTCCAAATGTGATCAAAGTTCTCCCCCAAAGATCATAAAACATTGTTTGTTTGTTGTGGTGCTGGGGATTAAACCCAGGATTTAATCACACGTGCTAGACAAGTACTCTACCGCTACACTTTTTCTTTTTTTTTTGTACAGAGGGATCTAACTCAGGACCTTGGGCTTGTGAGGCAAATGGTGGCACCCCTATAGGGGCGGGGGATTTAGCTCAGTGGTTCTGTTGCCTGCCTTGCAAGTGCAAGCACCCAAGTTTGATGCCCAGTACCAAAAAAAAAAAAA